ACACACACACACACACACACACATACACACGCAGAGCATGCAGCACACACTCCCTCTCTTCTTCTACCTCTTTCTCCTCATCTCTCTACGTTTAACACCAGTCTCTTTCTCTCACACTCCTCACTTCTTTCTTTCCATCCATCCATTCATCTATCCTTCAAACATCCAACCCATCATCCATCCATGAAGTTTGCAGAATAGACAAATCGCCACCTGAGAATTACAAAATTATACCCTCACAGTACCTAGTTTTGAGAAATTTTACTAGCAGATAGAATATTTGGTTTTTGATCTCAAGGTCTTAGTAACTCAAAACGGCCAAAATATCTGACAGAACGATGTAATTCTGAAGTAGCGAAATACCAGACTTCTAAGTTCCTGTTTTATTAGCAAACTCACTTGGCTCAGCTTGAAGATATGTTTTTTCCTGTCCACTATCTTCAGAGTTCCGTTCTGAAATTGAATGGAATGTGAACAAATAAAAAAATTCTGTTCCAGGGTAATCGATTGGGATTTAAACATAACACTATTACAATATATATGAATGTAGTTGGGGCGGGGGCGGGGGGGGGGTCTTTCTTTTAAAAATCTGTAGGCAGTTAACTGTAAGACCTCCGACGTCATCTAACGCCTTTCTTTCAGCTAGAATTAATAATACTTGTACAAGTCAATCAGACCGTTTGTTTTAGTAGAGGTTTTACTGTGCTCGCAGCTGTATAAGGTCATATGAGCGCCAGAAGATTAGAGGTGTTACAAGGGAGTAACAAACATAAAAATGAAGAAGAGGAGATAAGGACGATAGATGTTTGATGGGAAAGAAGAAGCAAACCACACCAGAGCACCCACCAACCACCCACAATCAGACTGTATGTTGGCATGCACCCTGAAAACATTCACAGTAATACATGGTTTTTTGTTTATTTGTTGTTTTTTTTCAGAGGGGTGGAGGAGAAAAAAAGTGGCGAGCCGGTAAACTTGAAGACTCCCAACTACAATGTCCGAACATGATACCCGTTGTGAGGAATGACGTGATCCCCCGCCAGCAAGACTTGTGAGGTTGTCAGCACAGGAGATAGGGGACATAACAACATTTATTAGACCGTAATATTTGTGTGACAGTATAGCGCCCCTTATTTTGTTCAAAGGAATAGTGATGACAAACGAAGTAACAGCAGCAGACCACACCAAAGCTCTCGCAACTTCCTTCTAAGCGTGCTCCCTTTTTGTATTAAATGTTGGTCTGCCTAGTATAAAACTGACGAACATGCGAAACAACTGTTTCTAACAGTATTTGTGACAAATTCCACTGGCAGGGCCTCACTTGCGCATGTTGTGTGTCTGCCACTTTTTCCAGGCACTAAATTAAAGTGTCATGAAATGAATCAGGTGCTCGTCAATGTTGGGCACATGGAGTTACTGATGTCATCTTACAGCTAGTTCATTTATCTTTCTTTTTTCATAAAAGTCACAATTTATCTTGGATAGAAGTCGAGAAGTCTGCGATTGAAGGAGGTTGGTGCAAGAGATAACATTACCTACAAAAAATTAAATGGTCTCCAAGGTTTGGCGAGTTCCAAAGTTTGAGTGTCCTTGAGAACTGTAAATTTATATTTTTGTGTGCCTTTGATCAATCTTTTTCAGCAAAATCCAAACAAAAATGTGTTTTTAAAAATACATAAAAAATGTTGAGCGATCGGAATTGTGCAACGGGTGTATTAATGTCGGTTTCTTTTTTGTTTTAGTAGAGGTTTTACGGCGCCCGCAACAGTTTCTTCGATTTCATTATCTAGATGACAGCCCGATTCCAGTACCTCGTGCGACAAATGGTCATTAGAGTTCAGAAGCGTTAACTCCTTTTGTCTTGGTTTTGAGCCGATTCAATCAAACAGATGGAGTGTCAATCGGATAGCAGC